AAAGCTGAGAAACTGGAGAAGGGATGTAACTTCACTGTGGAGGGCTGTGTGTTTTTTTCTGAAAGAAGGAAACATCCCATAATTCAGCTATGATTTACTATCTTCCTATTTGTTATGCATGAAATACAATTGCCCTTTTACATGTCTGCTAACTTTGGAAAAATACTCACCTTCTAGAGACACAGGTGGCTTTCTGTTCATTTGATCTTCACACTCAAATGCCATGTTCTGTTTATCCCACCCTTAGAGATCAGAAGGTTGGATAAGACCATTGGGGTCATTTCAGTTGCACTATAATTACAAGACGATCCTCTCAACACACCTCTTAAATGTTTTATCTGGCCTACTTTGAGCATGACTTTGTTGATCCATCTGTAGCTTCTTTTGAAGTGCTACTCTACTGCCTAATGGACTTTATGGGCAGATTTCTTTTTATCAGTTAGATAAAATGTACATTTTCATATTGTAGTTCATTGCTCTTTAATCACTTTTAAAAACAACTTTTTTTTTCCCTTGACAATATTTCCTACCAATAGCAAGAAACCAAGTGGATGCAGTGTGTCAGTGTAGTGTTGAATAACAAGAAAATCAACTGCCACAAAATGAAATGCACTTTCATTTTTCCCTTCCTCTTCTATATCTAGGTTAACACAAAAAAATAATAACAAGATTTTTCTAGTCCTACACAATTCAGTAGAATTTTGGCCTCAAATGATCTGATACTTTAAAATTTGTTAGTTAACCCATAATAGTTGCAGTGTAAATAACCTTATTTCAATGCATATGTCTATCTTGAAAATATTAGGAAAGAAGTGGTCTCACTAGTGTAAAATCAAGTAGCATATAATTGTGTGAATATATATGTATGTATATATATACACATACATATACATATATATGTACACACATATATACCTATATATGTGTGTGTATACCTATACATATGTATGTGTGTGTGTATATATATATATAAATATATATAAATATATATGTATATAAAAATATATATGTATGTATAGTGTGTGTCCATACACACACATATGCACACATCTTACATATCCACATGTAGGTTTTTTTCATTCCTTATGCTTCCACAATATCCCTTGGGCCCTTAGCTGGAAGTGAAATGAAATATTTATGGATCACTTTATGTTCAATTTCTGCAAATAATGTTTTTTCCTGTTTTAGGAATCTGAATTAGCAAATAGGTTTATATTTCTGGTGAAATTAATGGTGCAATCTCACATTTCTTGTGCATCCAGAATTTTCATTGAGATCAAATAGATATCACTATAGGAATAAAATTAGCACTGAGACTGACAAGATACAGTTAACTTGTTTTGTTTATGCATATTTCCCTTAAAGTGTTTGAAATATTGAGTCTTATTTTTTATTGAGATCTAACTGAGATTAGAATATCTTTAAATATGCTTGTATTATTTTGCAGTGAGATGAAATTTTAATTCACCCTTATCCTGACAAATGAAGGAATAGAGGAGAACTTTTTACTGAAGCCTAATATCCTTTACACAGTAAAGCATCTTCATTCTGAACTCTTCCTACTCCTTCTATTTCTCAGAAATGGCAGCTCCTTTTCAAACTTGTCTTTATGGTTTTGTTTTTTTTTTTTAAAGGAAACCTGATGTCTGTCCTTCTCCATTCCCTATTTTGCAGGAATACATTCTGTTTCTACATGACCACTTGAAATATTTACTTGGAGGGAGGTGACCAGATTTGGAAAAAGGAGAAGAGAACAGATGATTTCCCTCTCTTTTCATGTGGAAGAGTCTGATAAAAAAAGCAGAAGAGTTCACAGATCTGTTTGGTGTCTCATTTCAAGGCAGTCACATACAGAATTAAATAATTACTTGTTCAGCTGTTCAAAATACATTTGTACTGCTACTAATTAAAATTACTTCGGACTTTTCGGAGCCTAGTGCTGTAGAGCACCCTGGCAACAGCTCTGCAGGCCATGACTCCATGCATTTTTCTATCATCCTTGAAAAATAAAAGGCATTCTGCTCTCAAAAAAACAAACCATAAAGAAAACACAATTCCTTGAGTCATGTCATTAGAAAAATATTTTCTTCATAGCTGTGTAATACTCTTTGAGATATTCTCTACACTCACTATATTAGCTGCCTGTTTTTAGCTTAGAGCCATACTAGACAAATCCACAAATGCTTCTATCTGCAAAACTGAGGATTTTACAAAGTGTTAGTAAGTGTGAATGTACAAATTTTCTGAAACAAATATCTAAAGATTTTAGAGAAACTGCCCATGCTGCCATTGAAGTCATAGGCACAATTTTGCTATTTTAAACTATCCTGCTGTTTATTTTAGAAACAATGTGCTCTAAGCCAGAGATAGTGTAAAAAACCAAAATTCTGTTGCTCTCTAATTTTGAAAATATTTAAATTGTGCAAAGTAAATATATTTTTTCTCTAAATACTGGTGTTTTTATATTACATATACACAGAGATAACAAAAAGGCAGCGTTGGATCTACATTTATAATACAGATGACATCATCTGTGTGTTTAATAGGCCCTGCATTTGTATGGAATATAGCAGAATTGTAAGCTTTGCTGAGTATCTCACTGAATTGAAATAAATAGCTTAGGCTCTTCAGATTCCATTTTTATGCTCAAAAAACTGTCACCAAGGAAGTAGCTTTACAGAGTTTATGACATTTTCTAGAGATTTGCAGTTGTGCCCTGAATGCATTCAATTATACTTAGTATCAACCTTCAGAATCACTTTTTACCATTACCCGGACAACTTCAGCACAGAGGAAGGTGCTTTGTTCAGAGATAGTATGCTAATGTCATCTGTGTGAACATCTTACATATTGAAACAGGCCACTCTCTATGGAGGAAAAAATGCATCAAGTTTATATGAAATACCACCTTTTTCCCCAATTTGCCCAGCCCAGCAGTTAAACTGTAGTGACAGGAGGCTGACAGAGACAGGCTGAGCCTGGGAAATCTCAGCTGCTGTGAAGCTGTGTAGTAAAGAGAAGCATTACTTGATTTTTCTTTTTAATTTCAAATCATCTTTACTCCTTGAATGCCATCCTATGATTTTTCAATTAAAAGGTATTTCAAAAAGATGATGTGTAATTCAAAGATAAGGCCCAATTGCTACATGTTTCTGGGAACACAAAGTGATGTGTCAGTTAATGAGTCTGTAACAAAAAAAATTAAAAAGACTGTCTACAGAAATGCACTCTTACATAGACATACTGATGTGTCTAATTAAAGAAGCGGAATCATGATCATCAGGGTAATGTAAATACTAATATAGTTAATAGCTTAGCTTCATCTAAATTGGACTGTTCTGGAAAATAACCACTAATTGGTATTGATAGGAGATGATGAAATCATGTAATTTTTGCTGACAGTACTATACCCAGCACACAGAAACAACTTCATTCCAATGCAAGACAAAAGATTTCTGCTGAACTGCAAATAAGCACAAAGCGTAAATGGTGCCTTTTGCTAAGTGCTAAGCATCAACAATGCGGCCTCAATTAGAGAAAAGTTCGAGTTTTGGCAAGTGTAACAAAACACTGTGGGTGTTGGCAGGGTTTGGATGCCCAGCTCAGCTGGCTGGGGCTGCAGGAGCAGACACGACAGTTTCTGGCTGGAGCAGCTCTCCTCAGGCAGCCTGAGCCAGGGGAGCCTGCCTCAAAGATCCTTGGTTCTGGCGATTTCCCTCTGTAGGAAAGTTAACACTTTGTCGGAGTCTTTACAAGTCTTTGAATGATAAAGTTCTGGAATGGCCTGCCCAGGGAGGTGGTGGAGTCACCGTCCCTGGATGTGTTTAAAACAAGACTGGATGTGGCATTCAGTGCCATGGCTTAGTTGAGGTGTTAGGGCAAGGGTTGGATTAGATGATTTTTAAGGTCTCTTCCACCCTAATGATTCTGTGAATTCTGTAAACCCTTCAAAGCTTCCAGATTCTTATTGTTAAATCTAAGACAATAAAATTCTGCAAGGCCAGTGTTGGCTGTGCAAGCAATACAGAAACCCATTAACTAAGTCAAATGATCTGATAATATCCTGTTCTCCAACACTTTTCCCTTACTGAGCACTGAAGTAAAGGTTCTAACATCAGCCTCTTGCTTTCCCTCAAAAAATAGAATGTGCTCTTCTGTAGTTTGAGAAATTATATTAAAATCAGAACACTAAAATCTCAGTTTCTCATATTAAAAACTACTTTTTCAATTTGTTGTATGGATTACACTTTATGCAGTGATAGAACCTTTTTGCATTATGGTATACTCGAAAATATAAAGATAAAAGTTCAATGGTTTGAACTTTAGTATCACCTTAAGAAATGTGTGTATATTTTAATTTGTGTCATTGACTTTTATAGGTATCTGAAAATTCTGCATTATAAGTATACAGGATGACTCTTTTAAGCAGTATACCTAATTTGTTGCCTTTTAGTCATTGATAGAGCCTAAACATTTAAACTGACATTCTGATTTCTACAGCTCCAGCTGCTAACTTTGACTCAATGAGTATGTGCCTGCTACAGGTCACCATCACTCCCACAGATGGATACCATTAAAATGTTGTTTCTGTGAAGCAAGAACAAGCTATGCAACACAGCTGATCTTTTGATTTAGCTCTCAGAACAAGATCTTTGCTGATGACAGAGCAGATGGTCAGCTTTGCTGAACAGGAGAATTAAAATAACTGGATTTATTTTGGCAGATGTTCAAATTATGAACATTCATGCATAGATAAATTTAATTCTCATCTTTTGTCTTAGTCAGGTTCTAGGTGTAAAGGATGTTTAGTACATCATGTATAGTGTGTTCTAAAACCTGAAGCATCACAACACTATGTTTTCTGGTATCACTACAGTGAAAGAATGATTTATTTTGCTTTTATCCATCAGAAGACATAAAGATTGTTAAAATCTTAATTGATTTTCATATGTTTGCTTTCTAGTTTCTTACAGACAGAAAGTTGCTTACCAGTCAGAATGGAATTTTTGGAATAGGCTATTCATCTTTGGAGTAAAACCAGGAACAATGTAGCACAGATCTTCCAGCAATGCTCACTGCTCAAGGAAAAACCTGGATGTCAGTAAGTATTATAACTCAGTCTTGAAACACATCCTTAAGTACAGATCCTGTTTTTTTGTTTAGCATATTTCCATTAGCAGGCTACTCACTTTGGGACTTTCCAGGCTGAAGATATTACTTCCACAACCCATCTATCTTGATTAGTGGTCAGGAAAGTTAACACAGAATTCTTACCAACCTGAAGAGCTTTGATAAACTTGAATATGGAGAAAGTTTGTCAGGAATCCTTTGTTTATCAAGACAAGTTATTTGCCAATAAAGTTATTTGCCAATAAATTCCCTCCCTAACAATGTCGTGTCCCCGGACTTTACCTTCAAACCAGAAAATTCTCAGTGTCCCGAGAGAAAAAGATGGAGTTCATGAGTTCATGTACACTATACAGTGTTTCACACTGGTGAGATTTTCAAAGGTACCTGTTTAGTAACTGGCAGGTTTCTGCAGGAGCTTAAATCCAGAACATCGAAAACTACTGATTTCATAGCAGGTAGAACAATTCCAAGATGAATGTGAAAGAGCAAAGACCCAGGGAAACCATTGCTCACTTTCAGGGCCTTGCTTCACATATGAAAAGCCCTGGCTCAGAGTGTGTGCTGGGGAATACTTTCTTGGGGTCACCGGAAGATTGATAACAAGAATATAAGAAATTCTGATACAAGACTTGTTATTTGAACAGAAAATTAGTAGCTTGACATTTTTCTTGAGAGAGAAAAATATCTTGCTTATCCCTTAATCTGCAGCAGAAGTCACAGCCTCTTTCTTTCACTCGGAGGATGTAACACCAGGTGCTACTCAGCACACATGAAGAGTCCAGACCCTTGCTGAAGGACATGTGTCTGGAGCAAACTATTTTCAAAAATGGGCAATAATTAATAAGGCAGACTTTATAATTAGGTGTCTCACAATGACCCTACTCCCTTCCTTTCAGTGGAAGAAGATAAAATTGTTTTGTTAAAGGACTGATAAACATTCAGATATAGGGGTTTTTTTTCTTCCTGTGAATCTTTTATACCTGGGACAATACTTATCCTGTTGCAAGTGCTACAGCATTTCAGAACTTCTTGCCAATAAATAAAGATCAAAAAGGTGCAAAAAGAAACAAAATGATAAAACTTGTCGTACCACAAGATGGCAATACTGTTTAAAATATCAAGCTTACTCACCTGAAACAATAGTGTTATGAACATCCACAGCAGATAGTATGCATACCACTTGTTTGCAACTATAGTGTGAGATGGACATTTTCAAAGAAGATAATCACAAGTTAGTGATATCTGCAGGGTTTGTTTTCATTTTCCTTTTAAGAAGTACTGTAGAACAGGTTCTTGTTTTGTATTGTGGCTCAGACTCCAGTGGAGCAATGTAACTGGATTTCAACAAAAAACCTGTAGAGATAAGAATGAACATATTGCAATCAATGAACATATTGTGCACTTGTTTTTTCTTTCATGTCCTCAGTTTCTGGAGAAGAGAAATTTGAGGCCATTAAATACTGTCTGGCAGCTATTCTTGTTGATTAGCTATCATGTTAATAATTACAGCCACTTTCAGGCAGCAGAGAGAGCAGATGCAGGAAGCTGCCATGGCATTGCTTCATCAATATAAAATGTGCTGCATGCAAAAGGTGTCAATCAGAGCAAGCAGATAAAATGATACCGTATACTCAAGGGTAAACATCATATTCCCTTTTGTGAGGCAATACCTGGTTATGTTATTAAGTAGTTATTGCTGTTGTCTCTTATAACAAAACAATCACAGCACAGTGTTTCTGCAGCAGCAGCTCAAAGACAGGTGGGGAGCTCCCAGCATGGGAATGTGAGCTGGGTGGTGTCACAGCCAGGCAAAAGGGGTCCTCACAGGGAGAGAAACTCATGGGCACAAACACACACATACAAGCTTTCACACAGCTGAAAGAAATTGAGGAGTACTGTAAAGAAATTCTATTTCAGGGACACACATAATTATATAAACCCAGAAAATCTAGTCTTGCCTCTCCACTAGTGGCCAGAGGAGGCCTAGACACACGCATGCCTCCAGAATCATGAGGGAAATCACTCTCAGCACGTCAGCCCTTGCTGCTTTAGTCTGTGTCAGGCAGCACTGCTGGGAGCTGGCAATTGCAGCTGCAGAGCTGCTGATTTGCCACACTAATGATTTGTCATGGTGTAGTAGGAACTTGTTAGTCTGCCCATTGCCATGACAGGCCAACATTTCTATTTCTGTTTGCAGTGGCAGATGTAAATAACTACATAAATCACTAGTACAGAGCTTAATTCAAGGCATGTTTTTCAGCAATGTGAACACAGTGCCCAGTAGTGGTCTATGAAGAGGAATGTTATTATATTTAACTGCAGGGTGTATCTTTTTTCCTTGATGTATACTGTAGCATGTAACTTCCATTAACTTTAAAATGTTATAGACTCTGGAACATCAAAGTAGAACATACCCCGAGGAAAAAAAGGCTGTCCTTGGATGCTCACACACAGCTGCTATCGACATTAATTTAAGGGTGCAGTTCTTAGCCCTAAATATGCCTCTTTCTACTGAATATGAGCTCAATTCTCATGGAAAAGTTTTACAGAATTTCCACAAAATAACAACTCTTAAGAATATGTTTTAAACCAGACTATTTAGAACCAAAACTTTATTAGATAATGAGATACTGCATTGCACAAGACTCGTTTCAAAATAAGAAACAGCAAGTATCTCACCCTGCTTTATTTGTAGGTCTTGTCTCATACCTTGAACTGCTCACTCTTGCAGATAGAATTCTTTCCAAGAAGATGATATCAAGTGCCAGATGAGCCCAACTTTTCCATACATTGCTGCCTGAACACCCAAGCACATGTGGACACACATGTGGACACACATGATTTTTAACCCAGATTTTGCTGCATAATTATCATCAATAGCCATCAATATCTACTCTTAATGGAAGCAAAAAACTTCACACTGATCTCAGTGTAACCTCTCTGTTATAATTCAAGTTTTCCTGAGAAAAAGTAACATTTCTCCACACAAGTATTAAAAATTGAATTTTCTCCTATACCTCTAAGTATTTCGATGTTCATACTTGTTTGAGTGAACAATGGCAGAGGGGGCTCTGCCTTTATAGGTGACTAGACAAAGAATTCTTTTACCCACCTTCCAGCTCAAATTCTCAGCTTGAATGGAGTGAAGTAGGGGTGAAGGATGTATGTGCAGCAGGCTGAGAATGTGCAGCTTTTGGTACCAAGTGTATGGGGTGCTGCTCCTTAAAAACAGCCTGACATGATTGACCATAACAAGCCAAGCCTGCTACAGGTCAGGATGCAGAAGGTTCACTGAAGAAGTGGAGATCTGGAAGGTCAGAACAGGAAAGGATTTAGCAGAACTTTTAGTATTTTCCTGTGCAAACGTGGAAACACAGTGTGGGCCAGACTGTGCATTCATAGGTGTATCTTCAAAGCAGTACGAGACACACACACACACACACACACAAATCAAAATGGATATTGCTAATTATTTTATTCACTCTGCATTGTGACATCACCTGCCTCTCCTAAAACTCAGAATCTCCTTGCTGTACATTTTGTAGCATGACAGTGTGGAAGAAAGCATAAATAAATAATAAAGTAACCTGTAGGCTAATACATTCCCTAGTTCAGAAGTATTTTCAAGTACATATTTTTAGATGACATGCCATTAAAATAAAAAATTAATAAACAGAAGCAAAAAAAAGGGCAACACATTTCATTTCAAATTAAATACATCTAGGTGACTTGTCACTTTGCCACACCTTATCACAGGATGACACAAGGAACAAGCTCCAGGACCAAAGGATGGCAGCTGTGCTGTAAGTCACCTTCAATTTGAGCACTGGATCTGTTGTGCCACAGCACAAGCCCCACATATCCTGTCCAATATTCTGTCCTTGAAAATGACCGGCATCTATACAAAAAGTGCAAGAAAAGGATGTAAGGGATTATTGGATAGCTTCTTTAGATGTGAGGAACTGCTCAAATAAATAAAATAAAGCACAAAGCACCAAGGTTTCTAGCCTTTGCACTTCTTTTTTCTATCTTAAATATAACCAGATCATTCCTTCACAATGTTTTCAGGTTAAAGAATCCTTACTACAGCAACAAACATTTTGCTACCATTTTTATTTGCCATTAAAGAGCAATAGTGCTGCCATAGATGCAAAGAGCACAGGTTTTATTTTTGTGTTTTAGAGGTGGCAGAAAACACTTGCCAACAGAAGACACTGGCAGAAAATTAGAATAATGCTATGGCCACAAGACAGATCTAGAGTTACAGAAGGTGAAACAGATTAGGGTATGGAAGGAGGCATTTAGCAAGCAGCAGCTGCTCCTTGTGAGGTGGCACTGGAAGGGGAATTGGTTACCTTGTGTGTTTTGCCTGCAGGTGCTGTATGAAGGAGATTCACAGAGGAAAGCCCCCCGTGCTATCATATCTTTATGTTTACCCTGCAGTGACTTCCTACACAGAGCAGCTCTAACAGGTGAAAACCAATACTTATATGGCACTGAAAGTTTGTGGAGGCAACCATCAGCAACAAGAACCTGAACTGCTCACAGTGAGTGGTGTACAGCTGAAATACTGTCTGCTAAAGGATGGCTTCTGGCCATCTTTCTTTTCTTTTTTAGCAAAACCTGGCTGAATCTCATCTACCTCACTATATCTCTTTGTACATGTTTTTTACATCTTTTCTATGAGACTGCAAGGCTTTATAGTCTTTCCCCTGGTAATTGAATCTATTTTTTGTTTTTCGAAAGGGACGGAATTTTTGAAAGTTTTCTTAGCAAAAGAAAGACAACACTGTGTACAAGTCAAATGTACTTTTCTGGCTACATTAAACATGAGCAGGAAGTCACCATTCTGCTCCAAATTCAACAATCTCCTTCCAATGTCCTGTTAAAATCACTATTGGTTGAAATTTGCTGTCATTGAAATATTTGGAATATCTCCTCAACTTATCTCCTTCTACTCCAGAGTATTTAAAAACTTGTAACAGTAGTGTTTGGGGTTTTTCCCTCCACAGAATCAGACTAATATAGAACTGCTAGAAAAAGGAAGAGTAATTGATAGTGAGCAGGAAGACATGATAAATTTTTCAACAACCACTGGATAGCACATAAAGTTATTAAACCAGCAACAGGAGAGATGAATTTTCAAAACCCAGACACTTAAAAATAGTAAAACAGGTGTTCTGCTAAAACTTTAACAGCAGCACATTGATGATACCAGATATTGTTATATTTCTGTCATATCTATTAAAAAGCCCAAAGACAGTTATATGATAATTTCAATATTTTTGCATGAAAAGTGATCCAGTAAGCAAATATTCTAATTTTATAGAAGGAAATATGGTGCTGTAGATTTAGCTTCTCAACACGTTATTGCAATACTGACCAGAAGAGTAAAAGCCAAATGAGTGAACAGATTTCCCAGCTCTTTGAACACCCAGTGCTTACACTGAACAACCCTAAAAGATATGCCAACTTCAGAAGTTTAATGCACATTTTCAAAATGCATAGTCTAGAAAACAATTCAGACAGAGCTCTCTGGGGGCTACTTTTCTTTTTTTATGAGTATTCAGAAGAATTTCTAAATCGGAAGAATAAAGCTTACATTTAGCAGAAAGGTTCTCAAGAGCATGAACACTTCTAATCTCCATCTCAGTGATTTAGCTGGAAACTTTACGGAACTAGAGGAACCTGCTAGGATGGTTTTACTACCCAGTTTAATAGAATCAAAATTCCATCACTTCATATTTACTCTAAGACAAATAGCTTTAAATATATTTAACATGTTTAAAGCATCTAAGAGATTTAATGTTGGAGTCCTCTTACTTTTCTTCCTTTAAAATGAACGCATTCTATCCTACTAGGGGAAAGTTTTAGCTGTAGAAACATTAATCACAGTACTGATTTGTTCGTCTCCTGTGAAACATGAACTCTCTAAGTCTTTTCTAGCTTTTGCTAGATGACAATCAATCTTAGAAAATGTTCATCAATAATATTTGTTTAATATTATTAAACATGTTAGGAAACACATATGGAAAAAGGCAATCTATAGGATTATAGAGAGATTTTTTTTTTCCCCTTGGCTTGGGACTATTGGTTTTTAGGTAGTGGAGAGGATATGGAGTGGATTTCTGTTTCCTACAGAAAACTGGATACTTATTATATTTCATTGATGGAATGGCAGTGCAATATCCCTGCATTTGTTTGTTTCCTCATGCATAGAAAGCATGAGGAGATGCTGCTTACATCATCAAAACAAACTCTCATAGAAATTTTATAAGGCAGCAAAGCACAGATGTTGAAGGCATATGTTAGATCACTATTATAGTTTATATGCTTAGGAAGACTTTATCTGCTCAGGTCCTCAAAACTCCCTGTTAGAACTCAAAATGAGCAGGTGAAGTGAGTTACATAGCATAGCTGCATAAAAGGCCTTTCCTAACAAAAATGCAATTGAAATGCTCAATAATAATGAAAGTATCTATTATTTATAACAGTTTCTTCTAGCTTTCTCTTTAGTATACTTTTATTTTAATAGTCAAGGCCAAAGTGCAAATCACTAAAGTCAGTTTATGTTAAAACTCCCCGCATTAGATGAGGCTGGAAGGGTCACTTGTTTTAAAGATTCTACAGCTTTTCACATAAAAAAATTAATTCTGTGAATGAGTTTTTTACTCTGTGTGCTATCTCACAGGTTAAAGAGGCAGTTTTAAAAAGAAACTTTTGCTTTCCCATTTAGAATTGTTCTTGCATCTTAGTCCCTATGGATTCAGGCAAACCTAGGATACCCAGCATCAGTTTGGGTGCCAAAACTTATCCACCAAATCTGTGGTTTTGCATCTATTATCTAGCAAGCTGCAAACCATTATTAAAAGCTTATGGTGGCTTGAATTTGGGGACAACAATATTTTATTTTCACCTGTGTAGGTCTTTAAGGCTCTGATGTCTGACTTACACTTTGACACATATTTTCATCAGTGAACAGATTTCCCAGCTCTTTGAACACCCAGTGCTTACACTGAACAACCCTAAAAGATATGCCAACATCAGAAGTTTAATGCACATTTTCAAAATGCATAGTCTAGAAAACAATTCAGACAGAGCTCTCTGGGGGCTACTTTTCTTTTTTTATGAGTATTCAGAAGAATTTCTAAATCGGAAGAATAAAGCTTACATTTAGCAGAAAGGTTCTCAAGAGCATGAACACTTCTAATCTCCATCTCAGTGATTTAGCTGGAAACTTTACGGAACTAGAGGAACCTGCTAGGATGGTTTTACTATCCAGTTTAATAGAATCAAAATTCCATCATTTCATATTTACTCTAAGACAAATAGCTTTAAATATACTTAACATGTTTAAAGCATCTAAGAGATTTAATGTTGGAGTCCTCTTACTTTTCTTCCTTCAAAATGAACACATTCTATCCTTCTAGAGAAAGTTTTAGTTGTAGAAATTCACATTAATCACAGTACTGATTTGTTCGTCTCCTGTGAAACATGAACTCTCTAAGTCTTTTCTAGCTTTTGCTAGATGACAATCAATCTTAGAAAATGTTCATCAATAATATTTGTTTAATATTATTAAACATGTTAGGAAACACATATGGAAAAAGGCAATCTATAGGATTATAGAGAGATTTTTTTTTTCCCCTTGGCTTGGGACTATTGGTTTTTAGGTAGTGGAGAGGATATGGAGTGGATTTCTGTTTCCTACAGAAAACTGGATACTTATAATATTTCATTGATGGAATGGCAGTGCAATATCCCTGCATTTGTTTGTTTCCTCATGCATAGAAAGCATGAGGAGATGCTGCTTACATCATCAAAACAAACGCTCATAGAAATTTTATAAGGCAGCAAAGCACAGATGTTGAAGGCATATGTTAGATCACTATTATAGTTTATATGCTTAGGAAGACTTTATCTGCTCAGGTCCTCAAAACTCCCTGTTAGAACTCAAAATGAGCAGGTGAAGTGAGTTACATAGCATAGCTGCATAAAAGGCCTTTCCTAACAAAAATGCAATTGAAATGCTCAATAATAATGAAAGTATCTATTATTTATAACAGTTTCTTCTAGCTTTCTCTTTAGTATACTTTTATTTTAATAGTCAAGGCCAAAGTGCAAATCACTAAAGTCAGTTTATGTTAAAACTCCCCGCATTAGATGAGGCTGGAAGGGTCACTTGTTTTAAAGATTCTACAGCTTTTCACATAAAAAAAAATAATTCTGTGAATGAGTTTTTTACTCTACGTGCTATCTCACAGGTTAAAGAGGCAGTTTTAAAAAGAAGCTT